AATACTAGCCAATTAGCCCGTCATAAGACGGGATTTTCATGTCTCTCCTCCACATCGGTCTTCTCTCCTGAGCCTCTGGTCTCTCTCTCTCTCTCTCTCCTCCTACTGCCTCCCCCTCTCTCTCTCAGGGTATGCCTACATTACCACCCTAGTTCGAACTAGGGTGGTAATGTAGGCATACCGCACTTGCAAATGAAGCCCGGGATTTGAATTTCCCGGGCTTCATTTGCATAAGCCGGCCAGCGCCATTTTTAAATGCTGGCTCGTTCGAACCCCGTGCCGTGTGGCTAGATGAGGGGTACAGATAGTGCGGAATGGCTTGCTAGTCCGCACTATCTAGCCCATGCCGCATCTAGCCGCGCGGCATGGGGTTCGAACGAGCCAGCATTTAAAAATGGCGCTGGCCGGCTTATGCAAATGAAGCCCGGGAAATTCAAATCCTGGGCTTCATTTGCAAGTGCGGTATGCCTACATTACCACCCTAGTTCGAACTAGGGTGGTAGTGTAGACATACCCTCAGCTCTTCTCTGCCTTCTGCCTCTCTCTCCATCTCTCTCTTTCTCTTCTCCCCCTCCTGCCTCTCACTCTCTCTCCGCTCTCCTTTGTCTCCGTCGGGGATGCACGCTCGTCCAGGCCCTGTCCCCTGGGCGTGTATGTCACTGCCTCGCCTCCCGCCGTGGCACTTGGCTGACTTCTGCGCCACACAGCCAGGCCACCGCACAGGAGCAAGCAATGCAAATGGCCTTTCTCTCTCTCTTCTCCTCCTACTGCCTTGCCCTCTCTCTCTCTCAGCTCTCGCCTGCCTCTCTCTCCGTCTCTCTCTCTTTCTCTTCTCCCCCTCCCGCCTCTCACTCTGCGTTTCTCTTCTCCTCCTCCTGCTCCATCTCTCTCTCTCTCGCTGTCCTCCGTCTCCTCCATTCTCCTTTCTGTCTCCTCCACGTCCTCTGTGTCTGCTCCGCTTTCCTCCTTTTGAATCTGGTGCCCTTTCCTGACATCAGAGACGCACGCTCGTCCAGGCTCTGCACCCTGGCTGTTCCCTCTGGGTGGCGCTGTTGTCTCCTGCCGTGGCACTTAGCTGACTTCTGGAACAGCCAGCATTTCAGCATTACAGAGTCACAGACATTGGTCTACTATATATTTAAATATAATGATTCTCTGCCAGCACAGTAGTCACTTGTCAGTTAAGATATACTATTTAGTTTTTTTGAGGGGGAGGGTTTGCTATTGAAGTCCAACCAAAAAGTCTTGTTTTAACCTCTCACAAAGATAAATTAGATTGTAAATTGCTAGGAATGTTGGGAATTTAATATCTATGATCACAGAGCATGAGGTATTGTCAGGAAAATGGAGAAGCAGAAATCCCCCCCACTCCTTCCCAACAGCCACAAAGTTCAGCTACAGGTTCAATGAGTTACACCTTGGGCTTTGTCAAGCAGAAGGGGGTCTGCTAATATAGAAGAGCAAGGACAATGATAGACAGCTGTCCCCACCATGGCATGGGGACAGCTCAGCTATGAAAGAGAGAATATTGCATGTTGAGACAAGTGAAGAATAGGGATGTAATCAGTTAACTGGTTAAATATTATGTTTAATTGGTTAAATGGGGCCGGTGTGGGGCTGCTCCAGCCCAGCTGGGTCATAAGTTAAAAAGTAGTTTTCTACTGGCTTTCTGAAACCTGAGTGCATTCTTACCATTTAGCTTACTGCACTTCCACTGATCCTCCTCATGTCTGACATGGAAATGTATTTGTGACCATTAAATATGTTTTTGAAAAGGAACATTTTCAGTTTGGTCTCCAATGTTTAGTCTCCAACACCTCTTTTCACTACATGAAGGTAAATAGCATGCTACATCCCAAGAAAAATGAGACAATATAAGCTATAGAAGACTTCCCTCCTTGAATTAACTGTATTGAATATTAATTTCTTTCTCTCTTCCAATCCTTTTGGGAGATGTAATTGTAGTCAACCCCCCCTCCTATTCACTGACCCAGTAGGAGGTTGTTCAAGACAGGGGAAGCCTGTCTTGTGACTGTGTAACCACTTTGGGAGACTGGACCAGAGGCTGCTTTGTGTGCTCTGCATTTAATGTCAGTGTGTGTGTACCTCAGACCAGGCTCAATCAAAGTCAGACAAACCACCAGGAATAGGCTTTATTTTCTAAAGAACATAGAACAGGTTGCCAGCTTCCTCTCTGCTTGTCTGCTATATGCTCTCAGCTCAGTCAGTGCTGAAACCTCCTGCCGAGGGAGCAGAGGGTGCATTGTAGAACACAGTCCCCCTCACAAACATGTTTCAACTCCCACAATAACTAAATTCCAAAAGAATAAGCCCATGTTCTCCTTTTGTGTCATTTGAACTCCTCTCAAGGGGCCCTTTAAGCCCATTTTGGTCCTACTTGTAAAAAACATAAAACATAGCTCCCAATACTAAGACCTACAAAAGATACATCCTGGTAGGAACCAGGAAGTTATCCTAACATGCCGCAGTTTGTAGTCCACATTTGGCAGTTCCTAGGGCTGCTGTTGAAACACACTGGACCTTGGGTTCATTATTATCAAGAATTTTCAGTATGGAAGCTGGCCGTTCCTTAGGTCTGTTTACTGGAAGCAGATACCGCTTTGACTGAAATATAATTTGAAAATGGGAGATGCTTGTAGGACCAAATGGGTGGAAAGATGGGTAGATAGACATTGTTTCTCTCTCTCTCTCTCTCTCTCTGCATTAGGTTTATGTATAATTTCAATTTGTGTTTTTAAATTTTGTTTCCTATCAACTCAAAACATAATTGTAATAATGGATTTGTGTCTTGGTTGCTAAGGACCCAAACAAGAGCTTTAACAAAAGTTTTTTGAATGTGTAAAATCACAAAATATAGCATCTTCTATGAATGAGGCAGGTCCCTAAGCTATAACCGGGCCTGCTAAAATTGAGTTAAAAATGTTTATCTGTATTTAAATGAATGATAAGTGAGATTTTCAGTCAGTTGATAGCTGGATAGTGCTAGCACAAATGAGGAAAAAATCTTTTTATCTACTCTACACAAGACCAGTGTGGGTTCCACGTCTGTAGACATCTTACAAATAAATCACAGATATCCAGGTGAAACAGACAATATTAATTCTTCCAAATTTTCAGAAAGCAGCAAAAGGTAGTAATTTCCTAATCCCTATTAATAAAATAATAATATTAGTCTGCAAACCTCTTCAGATCATAGGCAAATCAAATTCCTGTTAGTAACTTATTAATTTTATTTTATACCTCCAAGACATCACTTCCAGTCAAACATTTCACCCCAACCCCAATTATTTTTTTCTAGCAGGTTCAGTTCTTAAAGATTTTTTTTTCTCTTCAACCACTGGGCAGCTTCTCCTTAGAGTTTGTGAACTGGTGCAGCTAGGAGCACACTTCCTAGCCTAGAAGAAAGACATGCTAACTCTGTTTGAGCTAGTGTGCTAAAAATAGCTATATGGATGTTACCACAGGGCAGGTACCTACAAGGTCAGGTGGATGGGCATGTAACTCGAGGGGCAAGCCCATGCTGCTACTTGTGCTACAATGGCCACACTGTTGTTTTGAGCATGCTAGAGGAGCAGGACTAGAATGAGTCTGTCTCCCAAAGTACAGAGGTTGGGAGACAGAATACCAACTGCCGTGTTGACATAGATCTTCAGTGATCAGTAGAGATTTTCTTGGTGTTCCATAGAATGAATGAAATGTTTTCAAATCCCTCATTGCGTGGGGGATGGTGCTTAGAAAGGTGCTGAATCTGTATGCTGGGTGGAAAAACAACCCCGGAAGAATATCTGTGTGTTCTTGGGTGTTCAGCTCATAAATAAAAACAATTGGGATTAACAACACACATGGCAATTCGTGTTCTTAATGGACACTGCACAGTATTTGTTTTCATTGTTCTTTTCAGGTTGGATCCAACTGGACTGAACCTATAGCTTATTTCTTTCCACTATTTACCAGGCTAATTTGTAAGAATTTATTTCGTAAGAGTGTGTGTCAGCCTCATGTGTCATTCATTTCAAATTAAACATTTTTTAAATTATTTAAACCTTATATTATTTTGGTACTATTGCTGTGATTGTCTAAAAGAATCAACAACTCTTATATCCCCTACCCGTTCAGACCTTAGATGATATTTTTAACCAAAACAAATCACCTGGTTTCAGAAAAGGGTATAAATACACACTTGTCTTATGTACTGTTTTATGCAGAATTATTTCAGCTTGTTAATATTATATTAAACAAGCAGTGCTTTGCAATGAAGATTTCCCTGGATGAAATGGCTTATGTCTTAAAATGTGATGGATGAATTCTTTCTATTAAACCATGTATCTTAAATGTCTATTAATATAACTTCCTAATATGTTTTATAACAATGCACTGAGAGGGAAATTATATTTTCCCATAACTCACTTCATAGTTATTGGTGCTATTCTATTTATTTTATTCACTAACTAAAAGAACTAAAAGCCAAAGAAATCCAGTCTTTCATAGGGATATATTTCTGTATATACTAAAATATGGTTTAAATTACCAACAGAACTGCAATTTATATATGTTAGAATCAATGTGAAACATTCAAAATAGATGCAGTATGGTGGAAGATTTAAAAACATGAGTTCCTAGCAACATTATGTTATAAAAAAAAATGAAAAGAATTATCTGAAGCCTGGGGCCAGGCCCTAAACTGGTGTAAATTAGTATGACTCTGTTGAATTTAATGGAGTTACATAGTTTTATGGTGCTGAGGTCTGCTCCCAAAAATTTAAAGGTTGCCATAAAAAAAGTAGCACTAAGAGCCACAACCAGAAAAAAATAACCACTTGAGCCATAAAATACATGTTTCTTCACACATATTCAGCTGTTGTGAAACAGCATAGCTCCTATGACTTTAATAGAGCTATGCTAATTTACATTATCAGAAGGTCTGGCTGATAATATTGTACATAAATATGTAAAATGAATATATCATATGTTTGTTTCAGGTGAAGTGTGATCAGTATTGGCCAAGCAGAGGGACAGAGACTTATGGGCTGATCCAAGTGACTCTGCTAGACACTGTGGAATTGGCAACATACTGTGTTCGAACATTTGCACTTTACAAGGTACATTTTCTGTGGCATCCTCCCTCCCCCACCATTTAAAAAAGGCTGCTTTGGACAAATCAAATCTCGCAAGGATTTACTTAAATCTTGATCCTTTTGGCAACGCCGAAGAATAAAACAATTATTTTGTTATCACAGTGCATTTTTTTCCCAGTCTGGAGGTTTATCGGTAAATATGGAGCTCTCACTGTGAACAACGATTTAATTGAATGAAGAATTAGCTGAAGCAGAGGTAGTTGGTATTGCGTGCTATAAAGTGTAACTAAAACCCTCATATCACTTGAACCACAAAATGCAGCAATTAAGAATATTTGTAATATTTTCTCCTATAGCAGGCGTTCACTAACTCTCTGTTCCCACATGAGGTCTATCTAGTTTCCATTGTTATGTGTGGTTAAGCCATCACCATAGTGCACCCACAGCATTAGACTGTAATTGTTTCAATTAAAAGTTTTTGTTTGATAGAATGGTTCAAGTGAGAAAAGAGAAGTACGACAGTTCCAGTTCACTGCCTGGCCTGACCATGGAGTTCCAGAACATCCGACACCCTTCCTAGCTTTCCTACGACGAGTCAAAACTTGTAATCCTCCTGATGCCGGCCCTATGGTTGTACATTGCAGGTAGGCACAGACTTTCCTTCAGAGCATCTCGAAATATCACACTGAAATTGTTTTTATGGTTAATGCTCTGTATTCTAAAGTATATGAATAAATACCCTTTGTGCTTCTGGGGTTTCTTCTGTATTGGGATTGCAACCTGCCCATACTATGAAAGGGCTTGGTTCTCAATGATCGAATGGGGTTTTTATATCTCAGTGGCATTCTTTATGACTACCAAGATTGTAAAGTGAAATGCTGGCTATTTGGCAACATGCTTATGGGCAGCTAAATAATGACAAATTAGGAATTCAAATGCAAAATTGCCAAATTTGATGGATGTAGTCAGAGAGGATGAATGGTTTGTGCAATGGGAGCTCATTTTAGAATGCTTGGAGTCTATGGAAATAGAATATACTGTTTGTTAGCAAAAGTCTATAAACAGAGAGGGTAGATGGGGGTAATTAACATACAGGCATATTCAGAAGTCACTGGAGAAAAAGAAAGAAGCAACATTTTCTTTGCTCTTGATTTAAGACCGTGTATGTTGCAAAAACAGTTCTAGTATTTTTTGAGCATTACATTTTTAGCAATACATTTTTGTGGTTTCTGATATTGTACATTTAAACAAAGAGTGTGAAATCTAGAGCAGATAAAAGGGAAATGCTATTAAGACTAATAAAAGCCTGAATTCCAGACTCAAGGCTCACTTTAAAACAGAGATTGAATGGAAGCTAAAGGAGCATGAGGAATGCATTACCAGAGATAGCACTAGATTCTTTCGTCACTGGTCATTTTTAAATCAAGACTGGATGCTTTTCTAAAAGAGGTACTTTAGATCAAACAGGAATTAAGTGAGAGAATTCCTGCAGACTGTTTTATGCAGAAAATCAGACTAGATGATCATAGTGTTGCTCAGGGCAATTATCAAATGATCAGATCCTGTCATCTAATCCCAATTTCTGGCAGTCTGAGATTTAGAGATACCCAGGGCATAGGGTCAGTGTCATCCCTGACCATCTTGGGTAAAAGTCATTGATGGATCCATGCCTCCAGTGACTTGCCAAGTTCTTTTTTGAACCCAGTTATATTTCTGGCTTTCATAAAATTACCTGGCAACAAGTCACACAGGTTGATTGTGCATTGTGTGAAACAATATTTCCTTATGTTGATTTTAATGCCTATTAATTTCATTGGGTGTGTCATGGGGCAGGACTCACAGCCACAGCACCCCTTGCTGGTATCACTGGGAATTAGCTCATCAGCAGGGTGCCTCACTCTGTCTGGCATCTCCCCCATCGCTCCTCTCTGTTTCAGGTCGGACTCTGGACCCTAATTGGTAATATCAGCCTCAGCTGTGGACTTTGCTCTCAACCCTCTCCCAGGGCTGGGTTTTAGCCTTTAAGGGCCAGTGCGGGACATCACAGGGTGACTCCTGGTCATATGAAGGGATTAATAACACTCCCTTTAATTTTCAGCATATTGTACACCTTTGTCATATCCTCCCTTACTCATTTCTTTGAACAGCCCCAGTCTTTTTTTGTAATCTCTCTTCATATAGAAGCTGTTTCACGCCCTTAATCATTTTTGTTGCCCTTCTCTTTAACTTTTCCAAGTTTAATATATCTTTTTTGAGATGTGGTGACCAGAACTGTATGCAGTATTCAAGGAGTGGGCATTCCAGGGATTTATATAATGACATTATGATATTTTCTATCTTATTATCAAACCATTTCTTAATCATTCCTAATATTTTGTTAGCTTTCTTAACTGCCTCTGCACATTGAGTGGATGTTTTCAGAGAACTGTGCACGACGATTCCAAGATTTCATTCCTGAGTGGTCATCGGTTTCCCTGAAACTTTCTGCTAGCTTCCTCTCATCTTCCTCTTCAGTTTCAAGCTTTTCATCCTGCCTTTCAGAGCAGTGCTACCTATGCTCCCATCCACTTCTCAATTCCTGTTTTTCTCTTTAGCGTTGTTTTAACAAGCCTTTTCGATTTTTTTTCTCAGTGTCCTTTTTGCACACTCCTCTTACTAAACTAATGGTTGGGGCTACTTCCCTCTGTTTATTTGTAAATCTCATTCACTTCCTTAAAGAAACACCATTTTCCTGTCAAAAGTTACTCCACGAAAGCAAGAAGTGCTTTGATTGGTTTTGGTGGTGGTGGTGCTAATTGATTGGTTGGTTGGTTTTTGGTCTGGTTTGTTTAAATCTCTATTGCTTTGGAACTGGACCATGCCCTTATGTGTCTGAAAGTATTGTCTATCTAGTGCAGGGTCAGCTCTTGCTGATGCTGGGCAGCTCTTATGCAAGTAGTTCCATTTAAGTCAATAGAACTATATCAGTATGCATCACTGTGGCCTACTCTTAGTATGAGGTAAACAATGGGATACTTAGAATGTAAGATCTAGGGGAAAGGTACTGTCTTTGCCAGAGCTCAATAAATAGTAATAATGACAGATTATAAAAAATATTACGTCTTTGATTGATAAATTTGGTAGAAACTAATGAAAGAATTAGCAGGGAGAAGCTGTGGATGCAATTCCCCTCAATGCCAAAAAAGCTTTTAACGCAGTACAGTCGAAAAGACAAATCAGCTATGCCACAAAGCACACTTAAGAGTGGCGCAAGCTACCTTTTCATTGTATTTCTAGGTAAATTTGGCGTGTGTTTTTTCTTGGTGGTGTCCATTGGCTTTGTTCCCAGTTTTTACTCCAGTAAACTCTTGCTCTAATCAATAGACGTTTGGCTGAACAAGGAATGATTATCAGCCTAGTAAGGGTCTGAGAATTTGACCTTATAAAAACCGCAGACTAAGAACTGGAATAACATATAGGTATTACAAGTGAAAGGGTTTAATACATGCTTTTCCACACATTTCTACCAATCCACCTTAATCTTGCCCTACAATCTTCCTGTTATTCCACTCCACTGTGTCTCTTAAAAATAGATCTGGTGAACTGTGCAAATTGATTGTGGATAGACACCCTATAAAGACTTGGTTTGATAAAGATCTATAGATTGATTTAAATGTGGAAGCTGAGACTATTTTGAACCAGAGCCACAATAACTGAAGGGATGGCTTAGTAAACAGTGAGATAGTTGAGGATACAATGAATTTACTTACATGACTAAGTTACTGTGTTCCTATTTGTGGAAACAGTTTGAAGTGAGGGGAAGTGACAATTGGAGTATCACACTGAAAACATTAGGATGGATTCTTTTTATGGATCAGTGAGCAGAAAGGAATTTTCCATCCTAAGTGATTGAATTAGCTGCTGATACAAAATAGGAGGCAACATTCAGAATGAATAGACTAGATCAGTCATATGGTTGGATAAATGGTTTCTGCAGAGCTAATACATAGATAATATTGCATGATGAGGTCAACACAAGAACAAAAAATACCAAGCAATTCCCTCTGTAGTCATATGCTAACAATATCTATGGAGGAGAAATATTTGTGTGTTACTGAAAATTATTTTAGCTCTGGCAATTGAGCATTTTGGCTGCATGTGAAATACTGAAGGGTGGATCTGATTGTATTGCTTTAAAAAACATGTTTCAGAAATGTAAAACCTACAGTACAGCAGCCAAGGATCTTAGCTACTCACGAAATGTAAGAGAAATTAGGCATGTATTCATTAGCTAATAAGATATTAAGAGGTGATCCCATAAAAGTACACTCAATTCGGAGGGGAATAAATAGTGGCATGAAGCTGCTGAAATATTGCCCAATTCAAGACTAGGACTTCATCTACACAAAGCTAAACTGTTTTGGTTAGGAGTATATTACCTTGGTCTCACTAAGGGTATGTCTAGACTACATGACTCTGTCAACGGAGTCATGTAGATGAGTTTACTAGACATAGGAAAATGAAGCGGCGATTTAAATAATCGCCACTTCATTTACATCAAAATGGCTGCCGCGCTGTGCTGATCAGCTGTTTGGCAGCATAGCAGTGCAGTCTGGACGCGCCATGGTCGACAAGGGAAGCCTTTGTCGACCACTCTGGTAAACCTCATTTCACGAGGCATACCGGAGCTGTCAACAAAGGCCGCTTCATTTTCCTATGTCTAGTAAACTCATCTACATGACTCCGTTGACAGAGTCATGTAGTCTAGACATACCCTTAGTGAGACCAAGCAAATGCAGTTATACTGGTATAAATGTGCCTCCTATGCAAGACTAAGCAAAGGTGATATAACTGCATCCATACTAGGGAGGTTGTACAACATTAACTATATCAAACTAAAAAAAAATTGGTAGTACTTTAGCACCTTAAGCTATGTCTACACTACCAGATTATTTCAAAATAAGTTATTATTTTGTGTGAAATATTAACTCCCAAAATAACTATTTCAAAATAAGCTTATTCCTCTTCACAATCAGGAGGTATTACAGGCAGATCCCAAGTTACACGGATCCGACTTATGTCGGATCCGCAGTTACAAACGGGGTTTGCTGCCCGTCTCCCTGGTCTGCTGAAGACAAGCAGACCAGGGAGACGGGGAGCAAAGCCGCTGAGCACGCGGGCAGCCGGACAGCTGCGGCGCGTCTGGGCTGTCGCGCTGTCCCCGTGCTCCGCGGCTTTGCTCTGGACGCCTGTGGTACAGCAGCTGGGGCACTGCTGGTTGGTCTGGTAGCGCCGCTCTGTGCGCTACTGGACCAACCCGGCAGCACCCCAGCTGCTCTGCCCCAGGCATCCCCAAGTCAGCCACTGCTGAGACTGACCAGCGCTGACTACAGGAAGCCCGAGGCAGAGTTGCTCTGCCCCGGGCTTCCTGGAATCAGCCGCTGATCAGTTTCAGCAGCAGCTGGCTTGGGGTCGCCTGGGGTTCTTAAGTTGAATCTGTATGTAAGTCGCAACTGGAATCCAGATTCAGCCGCTGCTGAAACTGACCAGCGGCTGACTACAGGAAGTCCGAGGCAGAGTTGCTCTGCCCCGGGCTTCCTGGAATCAGCCGCTGATCAGTTTCAGCAGCAGCTGGCTTGGGGTCGCCTGGGGTTCTTAAGTTGAA